GGGGCAGAAATGGTGGGGCAGAAACCATTGGGGAAAAGTGTAGGGAAGAGCTGTAGGGAAAAGCTGTAGGGCCGAAGCTGTAGGGGAGAAACTGTGGGGAAAAGCTGTAGGGCAGACACTGTAGGGAGAATCTGTAGAGCCAGAGCTGTGGGGTACACACTATAGGGCAGACCCTGCAGGGAGAATCTGTAGGGCACACGATATGGGGCACATGCTATAGGGCACACACTATAGGACACGCGCTATAGGACACACCCTGCCAGTAGAATCTATAAGACATGTGCTATAGGGCACATGCTATAGGGCACACACTATGGGGCACACCCTGCAGAGATAATCTATAGGACACATGCTATAGGGCACATGCTATAGGGCACACACTAGGTCACACCCTGCAGGGATAATCTATAGGACACACACTATAGGGCACATGCTATAGGGCAGACATTATAGGGTGCACACTGTAGGGCACACACTGCAGGGAGAATGTGTAGGGCACACGCTATAGGACACACTCTATAGGGCACGTGCTATAGGGCAGACACTATAGGGCATGCCCTGCAGGTGGAATCTATAGGGCAGACACTATAGGGCAGACACTATAGGACACACGCTATAGGGCACGTACTATAGGGCACGCCCTGCAGGTGGAATCTAGGGCATGCACTATAGGACATGCACTATAGGACACACGTTGTACGTATCAGGCACACACTGTAAGGCATACACTGTAGGATATGCATTATAGGGTACCCGCTATAGGGCACGCCCTGCAGGTGGAATCTATAGGACACACACTATAGGGCACACCCTGAAGCTGGAATCTATAGGGCATGCACTATAGGACATGCATATAGGGCACACGCTATAGGACACATGCTGTAGGTAGAATTTATAGGGCACACCCTGCAGGTGGAATCTATAGGGCACACACTATAGGGCACACACTGTAGGGCACACACTGCAGGGATAATCTATAGGACACGCTATAGGGCACACACTATAGGGCACACACTGTAGGATATGCATTATAGGGCACGCACTATAGGGCATGCCCTTCATGTGGAATCTATAGGGTACACACTATGGGGCACACACTATAGGGCACGCCCCACAGGTGGAATCTATAGGGCAGATACTATGTGGCATGCACTATAGGGCACACCCTGCAGGGATAATCTATAGGACACACGCTATAGGGCAGACACTATAGGTAGAATCTATCGGGCCAAAGCTGCAGGTGGAATCTATAGGACACACACTATAGGGCACACGCTATAGGGCACGCCCTGCAGGTGGAATCTATAGGGTACACACTATAGGGCATGCCCTGCAGGTGGAATCTATAGGGTACACACTATGGGGTACACACTATAGGGCACACACTATAGGACACACTATGGGGCACACACTATAGGGCACGCCCTGCAGGTGGAATCTATAGAGCATGCACTATAGGGCCAAAGCTGCAGGTAGAATCTATAGGGCACGCCCCGCAGGTGGAATCTGTAGGGCACACACTATAAGGCATACACTGTAAGATATGCATTATAGGGCAGATGCTATTGGGCACACCCTGCAGGTAGAATCTATAGGGCATGCCCTGCAAGTGGAATCTATAGGGCACGCTCTGCAGGTGGAATCTATAGGAGACACACTATAGGGCACACACTGTAGGATATGCATTATAGGGCAGATGTTATAGGGCACGCCCCACAGGTGGAATCTATAGGACACACACTATAAGGCATACACTGTAGGATATGCATTATAGGGCAGATGCTATAGGGCACACTCTGCAGGTAGAATCTATAGGGTACACACTATGGGGCACACACTATAGGGCACACTCTGCAGGTAGAATCTATAGGGCAGACACTATAGGACACGTGCTATAGGGCACACACTATAGGACACACTCTGCAGGTAGAATCTATAGGGCATGGGCTATAGGGCACACACTACAGGGCACGCCCCCCAGGTGGAATCTATAGGGCACACACTATGGGGCACACACTATAGGGCACACACTATAGGGCACGCCCCGCAGGTAGAATCTATAGGGCACACACTATGGGGCACACACTATAGGGCACACACTATAGGGCACACCCTGCAGGTGGAATCTATAGGGTACACACTATGGGGGCACACACTATGGGGCACACACTGTAGGGCACACACTATAGGGCACACACTGTAGGGCACACACTATAGGGCACACCCTGCAGGTGAAATCTATAGGGCATGGGCTATGGGGCACACACTATAGGGGCACACACTATAGGGCACACCCTGCAGGGATAATCTTTAGGACACATGCTATAGGGCAGACACTATAGGGCACACACTATAGGGCAGACACTATAGGGCACACACTATAGGGCACACACTATAGGGCACACACTATAGGACACACACTATAGGGCACACCCTGCAGGTAGAATCTATAGGGCAGACGCTATAGGGCACACACTATAGGACACACTCTGCAGGTAGAATCTATAGGGCATGGGCTATAGGGCACACACTATAGGGCACACTCCGCAGTGAAATCCCCCCTCGCTGACCCCATTAACCCCTGTGTGCCCGCATTGCAGCCACGCCTCGGACGTGATGGAGACGTCGGGCTGGAAGTCCATGGTGGTGTCACACCCACACCTGGTGGCCGAGGCCTA